ATTTTGATTGGGTACTTGGACAAGGAAGTTCTCCAAGCTCTGACACTGGACCAATCACTGATTATGCAGGTACATTGGACAATTAATTTTCTACGCAATGTACCCTTCGAAATAAGCTATCCGCTGGGAAATTTCATAACCTGATTAATATAAACCTTACATGTGTGTTCAAAATTCCGCGCAATTTACTAATAAAATTATCCACTATTATATGATAAGCTTAATCATAAATTTAACAGCTTTTAACTTTTCTACGTATGATGCACGATCCTCGCAGTAGAAAGCGCTATTTATGCAGTAGCGAAAATCAGACCTGAAAAGAATCCTGTACGGGATTCGAACCACTCAATCTACCAATTGAGCTAACAAGCGCTGCACTAGTATCGCAGAGGTCAGTGGTTCGAATCCCGTACAGGCCTGATTTTTTTCAGGTCTGATTTTCGCTATTGCATAAATAGCGCTTTTTACTGCGAGGATCGTGCATCATACGTATCTATAACCGCAGTTCAAAATATATGAACTTCATATACTCTTCGTATCCGAAAATAATAGAATTGAAACACTATGAGTTGTATAATCAGGAACTATACTAGGTGATTTCATTTTCTTTTTTAGGCGATCCTGAAGAATATCATAAAAAAATAATGGAATAGAAAATGAGATCTTTTAAACTGAAAACTGAACCAATGTAAATCAAGATGTCAAAATAAACAAATATACAATTTTAAGACTACTTCTATTTTACTATCATTATTATTATAATTATCGTTTTCATCATTGTTATTTCTGTTTTTGTCAATATTTATACATTAGTGAATTAGTGAGCTGTTGCAAATTAATTCAGTTTGGATATTGGAGACTGACAGAAAAAAAATAACCCTTTCATTTTACCAGATAGCCCGGTTCTTTCGTCCAGAGGTACACAGAGAAGCACCCTCTCTGCGTCCAAAGTCAGGCCATGGTTTGACAACGAAGGCTTGGAACTTATATCTAACCCTGGAAGTGGCAATGGATCACGTCGTCAAACTCCTACATCGCCAACTGAAGCAGAAATTAAACCATTCAAACCCACTAAAAGTAGTTTGCAGCACTTTTCAGCTGATGCGTCTCTTTTAAATACGGGAGATATCAACGCTCTTGATGACGAAGGCCTCTCTGCTCTTCACCGAGCCATCCGTCTTGACGACCAGGAGGGTGTAATGTCTTTGTTGGATCATGGTGCGGACGTTAACATATCAGGCACCAGTGGACATACACCCCTCCATGCTGCTGTTAGGTATGTGAGTTATTTCCCTGTCTCTAAGTAAGCTTGCCTGTGACACTTAGTCTAGGGCCAGACCACAGTTATTGTATTGTGTTGTACGGCGAGTCGCGTTACTTTTATGGTGTTTTGGTCTTCAGCGTTGAAGTAAATGTCAACGGATGTCGGGATCGGGCCAAGGGTTTTTTTTTTCCCGATGGACTATTTAAGTTCAATTTTCACGAAGATGAGCAATAATACCTGCTGCTTCACGCTGCGAAGACTTACACAAGTTGTTAAATTGAGGTTTCAAACTCGTTTGACATAACTAACAGTCTTTGGCCAGCATTTTGCATGGACGTTTTAGAGAGTCAGTTTGTCTCACACGGGTCTCTTCATTTCACTGAACAAGATTTGATGAATCACGGTATTTATGAAAAATGGACTTCTCCTGTGATTACTATCTTAGGTTTGAAAGATCTACGATTGTCAAACTTCTGCTGCAAAGAAGAGCTAATCCTTTAAAAGAAAACGAAAATCACGCGACCCCACTTTGTTTAGCTGCACAAAAGGGTTTAACAGAGATAACTCGCCTTATGTTGGATGACTCTAGAGTGGGGCCTTCCGCGATAAACAAGGGAGATATCACGCCTTTTCACTGCGCCTGCTTAGGTGGAAATCCGGAAGTGTGTGCATTACTTTTTGACAGTGGTGCCGACATAACATGTAAAGTATTTGGCACAACCCCCGCCCTAACTTTCGCAGCTTGGCAGGGCCATGAAGAGGCTTGCCAACTAATCATCGAGAAAGGTAAGATTGCAGAATGTGAAATTGAAACAGGATGTTTCTTTTTAGCCGAAAAGAAAATTCCAAGTACTCCGAAAAAAAGGGCTGAACCTATGACGTTCTGAAGTGTGCTCCGTATGTTTTGGGAACGGTTTATAGGAGACTCGTGGAAGTTAAATTTTTAAATATTCAAGAAATATGGAGTATCGATGCAATGCTATGCAGAATTAAGAATTAAAGTAGAAATGATATACTCGAAGCCTGGTGGTTAAAGAGAAAAGGACACATTTAGAGAAGGCGGAACTTTTCAGTGTCACAAAACTTGTATTTTTATTGGCAGTTCACTCTAACTTCGTCTACTTTAAACATGAAAATCCTATCAAAAATGCTTGAACATGCAGGGTTACTTCTGTGGGGATATTTGGGAAATGGGAGGTTTTCATTCATGTAATTTTGAACCATTGTTTCCCCGTCTATGCATTTCGAATGTAATATGGCGATTTATTTTTTAATCAAAGCGTCCTCCAGGTTTTTTGTCCATAGAATCTCTGCCGCCTGTATCTTCCCTTTGTTCCCTTCCAGTAGAGAAAATTTTCTGGTGACTTATACTTTATCATTGCTGCTTTATAGCTTCTATAAAACTTCCATCTCTAATTGACTTTGTCAACGAACGAGACGAAGAGGGAAAAACTGCTCTTCAGAAAGCCTGTGTTGGTGGTTACGAAGGACTAGTTGACTTGCTTATACGTAATGGCGCGGACAGTAATGCTGTGGACTGGGTAGAATGCATGTCTCCTCTCCATTTAGCAGCTAAATATGGTCACTTGGCGGTGGTCGAACTTCTTATCTTAAATGGGGCCGTTATTGACGCCAGAAACGGTCGCCTGAGGACGCCCCTACACTGGTAAGATCGTTTTGTTCTGTTTCATTTATTTATTTTGTTTTAGCGTAATTTAATTATGATTAGTGAAAGATTTAAGTAGCCTGATAGTGTAGTTTCTCACTTATCTGTTAACGGCCAAAGCAAACACTGGATGAGTTTTAAACAAACAAAAACAAATTCCTCATGGTATCTTTTTTTTTTTCAACAAGATAGCTCGGGACATAACGTTAGTTTACGACATTGAATAGCTGAAAAACAATTATTCTGCGCTCTTCGACGGGTACAAGCAATGAATGAAAATATGATAGAATCAACTTGTCGATATGAATGGGAAACAAAAAAAATTTCTTCTGTGATATGATGAATCCTTCGGGTAAAAACTGTCAGATAACTTTTTACAAGAATTTCCAGCCCTGAAAGAAGCCGTAAAAAAGCCATGTAAATGTACGATCATTTTACACGTGCTTTTGATATCGCCATTCATCTGCTAACAAACCACTCGCCCTCCATGTCACTCTGTCTGGCTGATGTCAGGTTGAATAAATGGCAAAGCTTTCCCCATTCTCGATCGAAATTTACTCAGATTATGGTTGGTGACAATGGTAAATAATTAGTATTGCTTACAAACCGTAGCGTTCAAAATTTCCTAGAAGCGAAAGAAAACCAGAATACGTAAATAAAAAGCTAATGGCTTTGGTAATGGTTTTTCTCGAGGCTAAGAACAAAATCGACCACTGGAAGATTTGCCACATGCTGATTCTGGCCGCGTACCTGTGCAGTTTCCATCTGTCGATAAGGAAAAAGTCGATGACAAAGAATTTTGGAAAAAAAACTCAACGCTACGCCCATTGTTTGATTCATCGCTTTTCTTCGTTTTGAGTTGCGCTTCCTCGTGAGCTATCGGGTTGAACACGACAGACATTCCATATCTACGCGCGTGTCCGTGTATTATTCTCTGTATAATAACAATTCATTACTGTACTCGTTAGAAACAACTATTACTTTTACCAGTGCCGCAGAATTCAATCATGGTAGGATAGTCGAACTACTTTTGGAGATTGGGGCTGATGTAGAGGCCCGGGACACGGCAGAGATGACACCATTCCTGCTTGCAGTGACCCATGCTGCAAGCCACAGTGTACAGGTTTTGTTAGACAACGGAGCAGATAAAACAGCCGTGGACTCTTCTTTAAACAGCTGCCTTCATTTGGCTATCAGTTACTGCAAGACAGAGATGGTGAAAATCTTACTAGGGAAAGACAAGGATAAACTGTTACAGCTCAAGGACAAAAATTTGAACACTGTGTTCCATTTAGCTGCTGGCAAGAAAGGTTCAGAGGTAGGTATACACGCCTTTCTTTTCAAACAGCAAATACAACATTTATAAGTAGTATTGGAGTAAGGACGCTGGTTTTCATACATTTATACGCTCAATTGTGTAATTAAAGTCGACTCTTCAGTCTTAAAAAACCCAACAAAGGCACATTTCGCAAAACGTTTAGGAAGAATCTACTTCAAACGGCCACTAAGAGAAAAGTCGCGAGAGAGCCCGATCCAAAGAAATCGAAGATAACTTGGTCTGGCTACCTTTCCTTCTGCTTTTCCAAATGAATTTTGGATTTCGTTTAATTCGCGTTCAGCATTTCGCGAAATATTCTTTCCATCGAATTTAAAGAGTCTTTGTCGCGACACTTGCCAGGTGGTTCGATGTTGCGTTTCATTAGTCGGCGGCATGGCCGCATTGACGATGCGCTTAAATGAGGTTCGAAAACTAAAAACTAGAGGTTTGTTTTTACGTGATTTACCTTTACTTGATAGGTATGTAGATCTTGTGGATTTTCATGACAATTAGCCGGAATTTTGCTATTGTCCAAATTGAAAATAGATTTTCTCAGGCTGCAATAGCAATACCGAAAAAGCCTAAAATACTTCGTTAGCCCATTATCTGCTGACTGATACTGTCCAGTTTGTTTCGAGGTCAGCGGTACTGCAGAGGCTGAGATTCAGTTAAGCAAACACCGTCAGTGTTGTGTTTAAAGGCTCGTGCGTGCCTACCAAGTTAAAAGCTGAGAGATTTGTTTTTAATTTTCATTCATAATCTATACTTTATAAGCTTTACAGCGATATATAGTTTTCCTTGGTTTCTTTAAAAGTTGTGCGCGTAAGACGATTTTTCTGGAGGGCATCTAGTGACCTTCAATAAAGATATGTTCCTTCCTAAAGTTTAGTATCCACGTATCGGTAAGTTTGCTTTCTTTCAATTTTTAGATTTTGGAAATTCTTCTGCGAGAGAAAGAGAAAGGATCTTTATGCCAGCGTGACGCAAAAGACAGGCTTGCCCTTCACATCGCGGCTGAAAAAGGCTCAATCCACTGTGTCGAGGCTCTCTCCAGGTGCCCTGGATTTTCATTTCACACCCAACAGGCAGATGAGAAAGGAAGGACACCTCTTCATTTAGCAGCTAGCAACAAACATGCGTGGGTATTGCGATCTTAAATAAAGTAAAATAGAATAAACTCCCCTCCAGAGCTCATTCCTGAAGTGGTCTTTCTTGGATTTTTTTTTTTTATTATTTTCCATTTTTCATTTTTATCATTTTCCATTTTCCATTTTTTCCATTTTACCATTTTTTCCATTTTCCATCTAGAAATCACTAATCCCGTTTTGAGAATTTTTGCTCTCTGGGCCATCTATAACGTTTGAAGCTAAAACATTACGGTTCAGAGGAAGACTTAAGTGGCATCAGATAAAACCAAGAGAAGACTCAGAGATGTCAGATTCTTTCCCTAGCCGCCGTACTCAATTTGAAATTTCTGACTGAAACCTTTCCTCCCCATAACAATTGTATCATAACAAATAGAGGTTAATTTAAGAGCGATATTCTTTGTTTCCTGCTGGACCAGAGTTAGTAAGCTCTCATAGGCTAAGGCACGAGCGTACCTTTGCTTTGCCACTTTGCAAGACAAATAGACTTAAAAACAGTTTTTTTTTTTATTGCTTCAGCCAGAATAGTCAACAGAAACAAATGATGTACAAGTTCCCCCTTACGACGAACAACGTATTTTTTGATAACAAGATAAATACATGTACATAGTAATTTTTATTTTATATCTGTGAATACGCAATTCAGTTCATGCTGCGAAGTATTTACCAATAAAGTATCTATCTATCGATTATCTTAACCCACCTTTGAACAACCCCGCCCTGAAGAATTCCAATTACAAATATTCAAGTAAAGGGTTAAAATGGGATACCAAATGGTTACATTGTTATACACATATCTTGGTTTTGCTTTCTACATTTGGTTGCTTCTTTGCAATTCTAGGGAAACATGCAGAGTCTTACTGAAAAATGGCGCCGAAGTTTTTCAAATGGATTTGAGAGGTTTCACTGCGCTTCATCATGCAGTCGAAGCTGGATCATTGCAGACCGTTCAAGTTTTGCTGGACTGTCGTTTGCCAAGTACTTTAGAACGAGTAGATTTAAACAACAACACACCACTTCACATAGCGTGTATGCACAATCATCCCGATATTCTATGTTTCCTGCTGGACCGAGGAGCTAACGTTACAGCCAAAAATAAAAGGAACATGACTTGCCTTGATGTGGCCATTGAATGGGAAGCTAGCGAAGTTGCCACGACGTTAATGAGGCATCCAAGGTTCGTTAAGAGGGGCGAAAGAAATATTAATGTCGGTCTGACGTTCCTTCTCTTCATGATCGGCCATTGCTGTGAAGTGTCCCTCAAACATACTCTAAGGCTCAGTTCCGGAATTTCTTWCAACAAGTGAACATAGATTAGAAGGGACAAAGAAGCCAACATTTAACAATTAACGTTTCCATTGAGTACTGAAAGTGTAAACTTGTTGTCTGGAAAGTAACAAGGTTAATTGCATTGTACGACGAAGTGTCGCAGATAATTTGCTTGGGCAATGCAGTGTGCTCTCCACTAAATAATATATATGAATAACAAAGAGCTGTGGGGAATTCTGGGGGAGGATACCTACGATGAATAAGCATACCGTGCCAAATGATAGGCAATATTCCCAGTCAGGGTTTAAACACAATTAAATGAAATGTTGCGGTCTATAGTAATTCCCATGCTTCTTTTTGTAGATGTGAAGAGGTGCTCATTTACTCACCTGACGATGGTGTCTGCTCAATGGACAAATTGATCGAAAAGCTGCCCAATGTGGCAGAAATTGTCCTTGACAATTGCATAACTTACAGTCCTCTTCCTCCATCACACGTAGATTTTTCTGTCAAGTTCTACCTCATTCCTCTAGATCCGTACACGAAATATGGATGCAGCAATTACTTTGGACCAGCGTGTATGGCAAAACATCGGCGAGAAAAGTTGCTGAATCACAATGTCACCCAAGCTTTGCTGAGATGGAAGTGGATGGTACTTGGGAAGTTTGTTACTTTCTTCAACGCGTTAGTATTTGCTGTTTTCGTTGTCTTGTTTTCAAGCTTCATTGTCAAAGAAAGGGAAAAGGTTAAACTTTCACACTCTTCGAAGAATGAGATAACAATTGTTGAGGACAATGATAGCTTCCTGAACCAGACGCCATGGATCATTATTGTGTTTTTAGTTCTGCAGCTCATCAAAGAGCTTGTCCAAATGTTTTGGCTTCGGTTGTTGTACTTTACAGATCTCACAAACTTGTTTGAACTGATCATGTTTGCATTCGTGTGGATATTCACCCTCCCATCCGTATCGGAATCGTGTTCGTCTTTGTTCACCACAGCAACGCGATGGTCAGCTGGGGTACTGGGCTTATTTATGTCCTACATCAGTTTGACATTATATTTTCGTCGTTTTGGGGGACTTGGCTTGTACGTAACGATGTACGTTGAAGTACTCTTCACCTTTGTCAAAGTGATATCTACTTTCATGATCGCCCTCACTGGTTATGCGTTCGTTTTCTTTATACTACTAAAAGAACAGGTAAGGAAACAGTTGTTATTCGCATTATTGGAGCTATGATTCACAAATATGTGATCCTATTGCTCCAACAATGAGCGCGATAATTAGAATAGGCTAACGAATGAAATCATGGATGTAAAATAAAAGGATCAGTGGGTAACTTGATATCAATGGGTAAAAGAATGAAGTGGATGAAAAAGTGACTGGATGGATGCATAGATCAAATGATGAATGAGTCAGGAATGGATGAGAAAGGATTGAACCACGAGTACACAAATTTGACCTTTTTTTTCCCTTGTAGGTGTGGAAATACCAGAGTTTGAACAAGGCTTTACTTATTCCATCTAAATGTTATCGGCCGCTCTTATTTTCAATACTTTCATTTTCTCACAGGGTAACTTCTCAGATTTTTGGTTCTCAACGGCAAAGATCCTGGTGATGATGGTTGGGGAACTGGATTATACAGACATACTGGTTGAACATGTTGTAAACAACCAGACAGTACCAGGGACAAGTTTCCCATATGTTCCTCTGCCGAGACTGACATTTGCTCTCTTCTTAGTCTTCATTCTGATGGTCTCCATTGTGCTGGTCAACTTGCTGGTAAGCAAATGATTGAATACGATTCCTCTTCCCTTCTACCTCAACAATCATACTTTCCACCTCTACAGCTTCCCTTATATTGTTTGATTCTCTAATTCCCAATTCTCTGGCTCCTTTCATGGAAAAAATGCGCAGATTTGGTAATTATATTGGTTCTTCTCGGCTTTCTTATGAGTAAGACAAATGATGCCGTTTACCTGTAAGCTAATCCGTTGCCAACGAACACATTATGCTTTGTAAATAAAAAGAACCACAGTTTACAGTCGAACCTCTATTAATCCAAAATTCAGCTGAACGCATCAGAATGCTTTTTGTCTCCGAGCGCTCGATCTTTTGAAAGCGGAGGAGGTAATGCGCTGTTTTAAACGTACTCCTCCTGACTAATCTTTGAATTTTTTACCTCTTATAGGTTTGAAGATGAAAGCTCGGTAATATTCATGAAAAAAAAAAAGAAAAAAAAAAAAGGGGGACCAGAGGAAAAGTCCGGTTAATTGATGTCCGGATAATCGATATCCGGATAATCGAGGTTCGACTGTACCTGATATTTTGAGAATCAATGTTCCTGAAAACATTGTCTTAGGCCGATCGTAGAGGAATGCATTGATGATGAATGATATATGATATACATATCGATACTTACATACAGAAGGAAGTTTTTACAAGTTTACAGCAACTTGAGCTGAGATAATACCCCTGTAGCACTAGTTTCCTTTGGTAAAGGAAAAAAAAAAAAAAAAAAAGAGTGAAATTTATACACATGGGCATGCCATTACGAAACTTTGCTTTTCTGTAGGTTGTAGGTAGTTTGTAAGTAGTTTGCTTTTCTGTAGGTTCTGTAGGTAGTTTTCTTCGCTCCGATGAAGGGCTAACGCTCGAAACGTCAGTTTTTATAATCGTAACGGTGGCAATTTACCATTTCAACTTTGTTGATCGAGTTTTCCAGATGGGATTTGAACCCACGACCCTCCGTGATCTAGTCGGATGCTCTAACCACTGAGCTACAGGAGACTCTTCGGTGAGCTAGGGTCAATTAGTGGGTATTGACTGGAACCGCATCACGCGGCTACACAGCCAAACATTAGCTAGCGCATAGAAGCTCACTAACAGCATCACCCTGTCACATTAAAGCATCACATGCATCAAAGCATCACATGCAGCCAACCAGCCCTCAAAGTGAGCATGTAAAGATGAAATAAACAATTTTTAATATAAGAGAAAAATCGAGTTTTCCACTTAATTGACCCTTGCTCACCAAAGAGTCTCCTGTAGCTCAGTGGTTAGAGCATCCGGCTAGATCACGGAGGGTCGTGGGTTCAAATCCCATCTGGAAAACTCGATTTTTCTCTTATATTAAAAATTGTTTATTTCAACTTTACATTTTTCAAAATTGCCTTTAAAACATGATTATTTTGACGCATTTTTAGATTGCCCCCACCGACGCAGTCCCAAACAGTTTCTTTAGAAACTATCAGCCTTTATTTCTGTAGGTTGGTTTGGCGGTTGGAGACATTGAGTCTATCCAAAGGACAGCAAGTCTACGAGCCTTAATAGACCAGGTGTTTTTAGTTGACACCATCATGAAATCGTATCCGAGTTGGATTCTGCGGAGGATTCACAAAAGTTCGTTGGAAATAAAACCAAATCAAAACAGTTTCTTAAAAAGGTGGGTATTCAATTTTGGAGTCTACAGGATAGGACAGGAAAATTACATTCCAGATCCAGCTGAGCAACATATTTTTTCTTCCATGTTATCGAGGAACTCTTATCATCGATGACAGAGAGTCCAGGGTGGCACATCAAGGCAGGCAGAAGCTCGAATAATCATGTTTTCCACAGTACATGTAGTTAGCTCCTTGGCTGATTGATATTGGTCTATATTACTTGTCTTGACTAGTTAAGGGCTCTTTTGTTTGGTTGAGGAAGAACTTCTACAGCGTGTAAGAGTGATTCGTTGTAGTTTTCAATATCCCAACGATTTCTTATCAACTCTTCTTTACCCCGAAGGGTCCTCCTCGCTGGCTCGGATCTTTCAGCTCGGGAGTTCATGGAACTGCTTCTAAGTCGCAAATCAGGTTCGACCACCCCAGCGGAGGAGTGGCGACAAATTGAGCTGGCAAGGGAGGAAACACAAGGAGAGAGCATCAGAAACCTTCAGGCCACGGTAGAAGCACAAGGGAGGCTTCTTCAGGCGATGGCTGATAGGTTAAGAATATTAGAGTAAAATGTAATTCCACTGAAAGTTCCCTCTTTAAGAAAAATCTAAAACACCAGCTTATGCTTCCCATCAGTTGTGAAACTTCTTTAGAAATTTTTGTTAAATGGTCTGCCAATATGGAGGTAGCACTATTCACCGCAAGCTTTTCGTCTAGTAAGCCGGATTCTTAAGACGCTTACTAGAATACGCTTTGTAAAAATTGAGTATTATCAACTAAAGCTTTCAAGAATTTATTCCCCGTCAGCTTATTATAGACCTTTTGAGTTACTAATATAACTAAAGTTATGCCGTCAGCGAGGGTTTTCCAGTGATGGTCTCATTAGCATAGCGTTTCCCACGACACTTGAGAGGAAACTTGCCCGTTTTAGATATGTTAAAATAATGTTTCGAAGGTTTTGGTAATTTTATCGATGTTCTCATACACGAGCGTGGTTTTTAACAAGTTGTAATATCTCACAAAGTATGAAACCTCGCAGCCTTTCTGACCATCGGAATTGGTGGACTCAGTCAAAATTTTTGCTTTACGAACAAACTAAGGGGTTCCTGAGACAAAACTGGTGAAAAGCTACAATTGCCCTCGATGAGATAATACCTTTACGTACACTCCTTGCGGTGTGAAATTTAACTCATCTTTGAGGGTGGGCGGAGAGGATCGCATGCATGGGTTACGAAGACAAGGCATCCCCTCACTAATTCCTGTAAAAATTGATGTGCGACAATCTGCTTGTCTTAATCTCTCTTTGACGGGTGTTGGGTTAATGTGCGACCTCTCACCAATTTTTTTATGTTTTGACTACCTGTTGTAAAGAGCTTATGTTCTGACGCTACGTGACTTGCTCTAGTACCTCGCACATAAAGCCGTGCTATACCAAAGGCTACTCTTAAAATCAGTTACAGGCTGTAGATATTTGGGTTCACTCTGCTTGAAACATTTTCACTTACATACATTACATACATTATTCTGTCATAAATATACCTTTCTTTTTTTTTTCAACGTCAAGTTGCTTTGTTTGAGAAAAGAAAGAATCGGCTTGCTACTACTCGATAACAACTTTATGGCACCCTAACAACTTAACATCATGCTGCTAAACACCTAAGTTCCTTCGCATCTAAGTTTTGTCCGTGTCACAGGCTGTCACCACTGAAAAAGATCTCTGAACAGGCCATAGTAACCTGAATCTTCACCACTAGACTCTTCCCTTTGGTCGTGTCGCTCAACTTTCGGCTCTCGAATATAATTATTTTCTTTTACTTTTTGGACTTGAAGTTGTGTTGTTTAGATGTAGCTTTGTTGGGTGGTTGACCTTGAAATACTGAACGAGGGCTGGGATGGATTTATCGGGTTTGGCGTCTCCCTTGGTCACTAAAATAGTCTGTTTATGGGATAACCACTTCTCAAGTGAAAATCTAGAGGAAAGTTATGCAAGAGGTTTTCAAATAGTTCCCACCCACTTTGTTAACTGCATCCTAATTTTGAAATCTCATATTACGCAATTTGGACCTTTTGAAGTCGACGGCTTATCAATAAATACTGTTACTAACGTATACACAGATCCTAAATACGAATCGTTTTCAAACACGATTTTTGTGCAAGGGTCTATAGATTGCGTTGAAAAAAGACCGGTACTATCCAATTTTATATCAGCACATGAGGTGGTTCCCGGCAAAACTTGTTAGTATTGCCTTCAACTCTAAAAACGCCGCTGCTATTGGAAGCGAGAGATTTCCCACAATCACGCCTCCGAAAAGGAGACGGAAATTAAAGTTAACAATACAAATAAGGCACCTTCCACACTTGAGCTGAAACCTGTTTATATGTCTTACTTGTTTGAGGAGGAATTGCTAATTTACTGGTTTCATGAAACACGTTTTTGCGTATTCAAGTAGTCACTATTTCCGAGTGGCAGATACTGTTTTAACCGCTTTTCAGGTTATTGTTGACACTTTTCCCCAGAAAATATTACTGCCACCAGAAACGCAGCTAATTGAAATTGAATGGACACATCCTAGGTGGCTAACTGAAATGCAAATTTTTGGTGTGACGAAAACGTGATTATCTAATCCTACCAAGAAAATCTCCTGTTCATTTTCACTTTCACACGCGATGGAAATTTCAAACGATGGTCAAAATATAAAAGCTTGTTAATAGACGTATGAGAATTAAAAATGGCAAGAGAGAAGGCTCACGGCACGCAAAAAATCTTCATGACTCCAGACTAAGTCGGCACGCTCCTTTTGTGTCAACTCTGATGTTTTCGTGACACATCTAGACGGCTGTGATAGTTGACTCTCCTCTTTTTCTATGCATTAACATTCATTTGGATATTCATTTTTTGAGGCAATATTGAGAAAAGATAGAAAAAACAAAATAGGAGAAAAAGATTAAAAACTGAATCCCTGAATTGATTCCAAAATTCCACCCCAAAAGTGTTCAGACCATTGTGCGTTCGTTCCATTTCGGAGTGGCAGCACCACAGATGATGAAATGTTTTACTCGATTTAACATTGTATTCTCACTGCCGTAGTTTAACCGATGATAAAATATCTTTAAATTGATAAAATTTTGTACAAATTAGAAATCTAGCTCAAACCACGGTGGCCTGCCTTTTTGAATTGCCAAACACTAAAGATTCAAAAACAGACAAAGGGCAAAAACAATGCAATTAAGTGGCGTTTAGATTAGAGGTAAGGACAGAGGTTGAAAAAGAATAAAGTTTCCTCGCAATCATATAGGCGCGTGTACTGTCTAACCCTTACTCTAACCAGATCCATACCTCCCCATCGTCAAAACAATTCAAAAATGAAGACTAAAAATAAAACAAAAACTGATTTTGGAATGGAAGACAATTGTAAAGTGAATCAATGATAAAAATATTCTCTTATTAACTTAACAACTGTTTTTGCTTCTGATGGAAGGAAATTGGAAAGAATTTGCTTTTTTCTAAATCTATTCAAGGCACGACTAAAAGCTGTCAAGGTCAGTACCTATGTGGGCATCTTAGTAGCATGAAGTGACTCAATATATAACAGTTAATAAAAGAATATTACCATTCGGAGAGAATTCTGGATTCACTTGTAAGGGTAATTTTCGAATAAATAGGCGCCTCAATGGCTCAAACGAAATTACCATGAATGAATAACAACTCTCAAGTGGTCTTGAGCGATTGCAAGAATTGGTGCCACGATGTTTATAGCCTTAAGGAAGAGATGATACAATGTCATATGGTACAACACCATAGACAGTGTCTAAAAAACAGTGACGACCTAATACACAAATTATTTTAGCTTTTGCCTGAAGTTGCAAGGTAATTAATTTGGAGTACAACAAATGGAAGCCTCCACGTTCTTGTTAGGTACTTAGTGGCACCATCCTGAAAATTTAAAAAAATCTTGGATCAATATCCATCAGTTTTAAGTATTTATTGTGGGATACTGATTAAATTTTTATCTACAATTTTTCTCAGTTCCAGTACAGGTTCTGTGGCCTCGCTTAGTCTTGATATTCTGTGAATCTTGATCAAGATTGAAGCTTTCATTTAAAACTTATGACATTGTAACAACAAACATTTACCCAATTATAGTGGGTTTTCGACTGCCTGAAGAAGGAATTATTCTGTGTGTCGCACCTGCAAAAGCACTTTCCTTTAGATGTAGTAAAAATTCGGCCAATTTGTAAGTTTTGTTAAAAACAAGGGTAGAAAACACTAAAATGTTCAGACGTCTCAACTTATAAATAACACCACAGTTTTTACATACGAGAAAAGATTGGATTGACAAAGAACTCTTCACTTGACATGGCCACTTCCGTTCTCGTTTTGAAAACGCCAGTCATTGTCGTCTACTACAACCTCTCTGTATTAAGAACTGTTTACCTATGGAAGGGGACGCTACAATCAACAGTTAAAAAAACGGGAAATCATTTCAGCTACGACGTTTTCTCTCCTGAAAAGAGACAAGAAATGGTAAAGACGTGGCCTCACATCAAAATTTCATCAACTACACTTAAGTGAACTTTGGAAATAAATCAATATACACTTTTCGAGAAGGCTGGTAGAAGCTCTTCTCTTTTTACAGGTGACTTAATTCACTTTCACAAGTCATTGTCCTTCTCCCCATGTGGGGTCCGTTGCCCCACCCTGTTAGAGCACCTTGGTAAACAGGAATTCCTAAACAACCTAATATGATATTTTTTTTTAAATTGGATATTTTGTAGCAATACGAAGGTAGTGAGGAATGGGCTAAAAGACAGATATATTGATACAGAAAGGCCCCTGCCTCATTGGTTATCGTTGCAATTTTTATAAATGGTTGGGAATAAACAACTAACGCGCTATGCATGGAGCCTTGATAGTCGTAAAGTACGTAATCAGAAATCAATTAAACTTTAAAAGTATGGTAAATACTATTTATGGCATTTTAAGCTCCCGCGTGCAATTTTTCCAAAGCCTCACATTGCCGTAAAGGAAATGCTATGAATGGAAACACCAAAAAAAAAAGAATATTTGATTGGTAAATCTGATATTTGAAAGTATTGTTCTCTTGGTTTTCAGAGTATTTTTTCCATGGAAATTTATGTGAACGCTGAAAGCTTGGCCACCCGGAAAGCTAATAAAATTCTCATAATTGCTTCACAGATATGATTGGTGTACTTACCATCACAAAGTGTCCGTAAATAAACAGGCCGCGGGCTTTCCATTCAGTGGTTGATCACGTGACAACTTCCATTCACCGAAAAATAGCCACCTGCCCCTACTACTCCGCCTAGGCCAAAAATCTGTCAAGAATTTGTAAGCCTATGTCAAAAGCGCTCTTGAAGAAAACGGCATTGTTTTTATCGGAGTAGACTGATGAGCTAATGCAGCTTTGCTTGAAAATCTGGTCTATTCCCTAGTTCACCTTTGCCGTCTTTATATGCCATTTTGCTTAGCTGATTAACAAATCTATGGAAATGTAGATAATTGCTTTTACACTTGAAATAATCGCTGGCTCATTTCTTATACGTGATAAACGTAAAACGAGTTTTAACTTGTTAGCCACCCAAAGAAACTTTCATTTAAAATCCCCGACTAAGATATCAGCACTGGCGAAGGTTGGTCAGCACAGTACAACCAGCTTTAAAAGAAAAAACAGATTTGTTTGAGGGTAAGACTTCTCTAATTCATTTGGAACTGTTTTCATTTGCACAAATCTTAATGTTTTCATCCAAATCCACATATCATACAATTGTACGTACAACACAAAGAGCTTTCATTGATAAATAAATCTCTCTTTATTTTCTCCCAATGACACTAGGTAAAAATTATTTTTATAGTGGTTTGGTAAAATTGAAAATCTATAAAAGGTGTACTTCCCACGGTGTTAATGAACACCACAAAAATTCCCATTTATCTCTCATGCTTCTTTTCTCGATAGAAGCATATGTTGCGTAAAAAATTTACTAAAGATACAACTGTGAATCCAACTTTAAATATCGTACATTTGAGCGTCGCGGTTTCTGTTTGCGATCGAATGTTAAATTTGAATATGTTTGTTCCGCGGCGACCACGCCAACCAGTCATTAAAAGGCGGATTCATCCAGATCATTTCCAAAATGAAAAAGAAAATTATACGTGCTCTGAATAACACCGATTGCTGATATGGCGATATAAAAGCCTTCCAGAAAAAAAATTCCAATTTGTCGATCTTGCCTCCCGTCAGTGATTGTTTATGTGCGATAACTCCGCGTCATTCACCCATACGTGATATTATTTGTGTTCGATGGCCTTGTCGTTTGCATTTCTTTCATTAATGAGCGTTTGTTGTTTTCCGACACGCAAAGCTCACTCGTTCACGTTAAAGGCTAAAATTGGCCTGAAATACACCTCATCCAAGACAGATTTATCGCTTCCAGTCAGAGGAAGAAGCGCATCTCTGGAGAGTTGCATCTTTTCAAAGTCAAGCCGCGGGCGACGTCTCTTGTTGTCATCAGCATTTTCGCTTCCTTCCAAGGTCCGCTTGAGAGGACCAGAGTCTCTTGTTCTTCGATTAGTTTTCCTAATTATAGAATACGAGGCGTTATTTTCACAAAGAACATGAGGTAAATCTTTATTCGTGTTAGAGCCATTTACTAGAAGTTCACTTATTTCGTCGTCGGAAGATTCAGCGAAGTCCGCGGTGTCTGATTCTTCATGCTTGTTTGCTTGATTTGCATATTTATTAACTGATAAAGTTAGGTGCCCTGGCGATGTATGAAGACTGGTTGAATGAATCTCAGCTAATGGCTTTACAGATCCGCGAGCTTCCTCCGAATTCTTATCCCACTCTTTCCGCTCTTTTTTCAACCCAGGTATACAAGCTTGTGAATGCAGTGCTTCCTTGCGCTTGGCCACCAAAGCGCTGGGATGGCTACGGCTTCGCTTCGGATTATTGGGAGCCTTTCCGGCAAAGTCTAAATTGTAGGGCTCCGACCAGGAGTAAAAGAAAGGTGGCTTTATGTTTCGATTCTCGTCGAGACCATGTCGACTCAGCTGAAAGGCTAGCGTGTCAATACAAGGCAAACTGCTCGTTAAAGCCATCTGTAAGGAACTATGGTTGCCACCTCCGCCGTGTTGTAGTAAATCTTAATCACGCGAGCTGGTGTAGCTGACTGATTTGGCGCGGAGTGCGGAGTGCTAGCCCGGTAACTAGTCTAGTCCGATTCAAACAACACACTTGCCATCGGGCCACCTGAAAACACATAAGTTCAACTATTTATGGGGGAATATGATTGGTTGAGGCCAATCAATTGCACCCGTTGAGCCATTATCTTTGACAACAAAGCAGCAGGTCTACTTGGAAGTGATCATCATTCATGAAATTCAACACGAGAAATTACTCACTACTTTGCTTTTCAGACAAATTGGCTTTTATCATGGATCGGGCTTTTCAGTAAGTCTTTCATTTAATTTAACTTACCTTTTTTTTAACATTTTCACTTTGGGCGACTAAAAGAAATTGCGTGTCTGACAGCTATTAAGCACTAGATTAAAGCCTTATGTGCCCCAAATAATTGAATTCGACAGAAACTAAAACAACGAGGGCCATCAAATTAAATTAACATTTGTCAGTCGAAGGCTTGAATATTGCATGCTGCAATAACCGCAATCGATTTCAATAGAAATAGCGAGGAAAAAGAGAGGGTAAATGCAGAGCCCTAAACGGAAGCTAGAAACAGTCTTTTGTTATTCCTGTTTTAGGGTTAACTTTCCTGTCTACGTAGAACACCAAAATAAAAATTCAAATTAAGCTGTTTTGATTATGAGAATTACTAAAAAGAAACAGTTAGAGGTGCAGATTAGAAATGATCCGATAAATGCAGGTTGTAATTTCATTTCCTCCGGCATACTCTGAAAGTCTTGCCTTTTCGGGATCGATCCAAGAATTATCAAGTGCTAGCGGGGAAGGTTCGAATAACGGAGTTTGCTTTGTAATCGCCGTGTAAAATTTCTGTCCTTTAAAGGAAAGGCCACCGGGTCTTTTGTCTTTGATTTCGTAAACAAACTTCCAAAATATTTAAAAGCACATTGTGAAATCCTGCAGGGCGGGCTGATATCAGAATGGCTGTTATGCAAATTTTTCGTGAGTTGGACTCAAATAATTATTTGTAGTAATTTTGCACCACGTGTTTAGGGGGAAAATTTAAAGACTGAGCTAGCTGCGAGTGAAATGAATCAGATTATTTGTCACAGCGAGTTTTTCCTGAGGTAGAAAACGCAATGAATTTATTTCGAAGCGATGTGAATCGTCGAATTTTCCATGACGTTTATGTTGCGAAGACTAGCTAGACTGACCCACATGGTAGATGGAGTGTTTTCTTTCATCGTAATTTGAGAAGTGCAGATGCTGTTCTTTTGCGAGCTCTTAAGTTCGCAAACAGCTCGCGATCGTATGTCTTGTCCATTTTTTTCCTTTTTTTTTTTTTTTAATTCTAATTCTTAATTTTGTGTTGCCATCACCAATGGTCTGTCGCCTTCAAGCTGTACGGAAAGTTCGTGGATTCCGCTTCCGCTGGATATGCGAATATAGATATGAATAAAAACATTTACTTATTCTCCCAGTGAAAAGGCAACGTTAGCTGGCTACTGATTTTTCTTCCGTGAAATCATTGTACTTTTCGCAAATATCCTGTAATGTTAGAACTGTGCACTTGAAGAGTTAGTGAATGGCACACTGTTTTCCATCGGCACAACTTACCCTTCATATTCAACGTCAACTCTGTGCTAATTGGTTTTGTGTTGATAGATGGGTGAGATAAAATACACGTGGTGAAAGAACAAAAAATCGTTCAAAAGTACACACAGTTGACATGCATGGAAAGAATTCTGTTATCGAAGCTGACGTTTAGTCGGCTTAAGTGGAAAAACCTAAAGAGCAGCTTATTGTCCGAAAAACCAGGGCGTCTTCTGTGAATACCAATTACAGTGACAACTTCATGGTCACCTGTCCTCGACATGATAGAACTTATATTCATAATTGAGCTTATTATTCTCTTCGAATGGTTGAACCCTCTTTAGCACAGATAATATTTGGGGTGATGTGTTTGGAGCCAAGAGAGTCATTTTAAATTGATCTTATGGGTCAAAACCATTCAACATGCTCTAAAGCAGCCGAGCAAACAAAACATATGAAATGGAGAAATATAGGTTTATTAACGAGTCTCTCCATCCATACTTTCCTAAGTTGATGCCCACAGTGCACGCTTGTTTTTATATAACACGGTAAGGAAAACTCCAAACAGAAGGTTGTACTCAAAATCCTTTCATACAGGGCAGCTAAGTGTTGGAGAATCATTAGGAGGCGCTCTGACTTAACATTGGCCTTCAAATCTGGGGTCATTATTCTGCGATGATTTTAACACTTTCAAATTAGCTCGTAGGATCCTTTGTATAGATACAAATTAGAAGCTTCTTTCAAATAAAGGTGGTAAAAGTACACATGAACAATACGCAATGAGTCGATCTCAGCTGGTTGAATCTTTGGTCTTAAGTGCTAAGTTCTCCGCTTGTTAAAAACGAGCGCAAAGATCACTTGCGATGCACTAGAAAAAAGTTAATATAATTTTATTTTAACATTGGAGCAGCCATTCTTTGTTGTAACCACAACAATTACTTTACACTTGTCATTAACAATTCACGAACGTTTTGTTTTGAAATGCAAATAGCCGAGTTAATTTCAATGAACCAATTTTTATCGATAGCAGCTGCCATTTCTTATTGCATGAAATTATTTAGTCACAAAACAAATGAGTGCAAAGCTTCTCGAAGGATGAACTTCAAAATATTACTCTGCTTGATTTAGCCTTTAAAATGGACAAATTTCTAACAGTCGCATAAGTTTTTTGTTATAAAACGAAACAAATAGGACCTTTGGTAAGGACTAAATAGCATGGGAGCATTGCCCAGAAATAGCCTTTGGCATTGATAAACGCTATTCACTAATTTAACCAAACGTATCTCAGATCAAGCCCATTGTGAACGAGAGGTCTTTTTGCGCCAAGCAGGCGGACTTCATAATAGACTACAGTCTATGAAAACCTTTGAATTTGTACAAGCTGTCTAGCTGAAGTCAGAAATGGCATATCTTGCTTCGTGATTTCAAATTCATTTGATCATAAATGATTTCTTTGGCAAGATCAACCTGTGATTTTGGCCAGCAGAGTCCCCTGATTGTCAAAGATCGTGTATCATGTACAGACGTTTAGAAACCATAAATGTTGGATGAATTATTCGAAATATATACACTGCTGAAATGATATGCTTAAGTAATTTATGAAACTTTCCAGTAGAAATGTGTGACTTACTGTTTTCAATGAAGTGCTCCCTCTGACGAAATGGCTAAGCGCGGAGTGTGAACCGTCAATGGAAGTGGCTTAACAGCAATTGCTTCGTAGTCGTTTTACTCCAAACCTCCTACGTTGTACCCAAATTATATTGTTCCTTGGTTCATTGTGGCTGTCTTCAGTATTGAATAAAACAAGTGGTCGCTTTCCGGACATTCATAACAGTTGTCATGGCAACAGTCAGAATCGTGCGCTTCTTATGCAAATGAAACAGCACGAGCTCGCTCAGCACGTGTCTGTAGGTCAAAGGGTCTTGATGGCCCAAAGCCCACTCTTTGCTCTTACTAAACTTGCACGCAAAAGAATCAATGATTGATCCTCCCCTGCGGATACATATTCTTATTTTGCAGTTTCAAGATTGTCATCGATGAAGCAAACACCCTGAATCCTGGTGCTTCAGGTGGATAAATTTGTTGTCATACTTTCAAAACAGTTGTACTGGTCGGAACTGCAGGAGAAGCTTGTTAAGGATACCAAAGAAAAAGTAGGAATGGTCTGACAACAAGGGAAATCAAAGGAACTTCTTACAGAAAAGAAAATGGTTAGTTTTGAAAATGAAAAAAATGATGTTCAAAGAACCTTTATTTTGTCCTCCTCTACTTCAAGGGACCGAAAATTGTCAAATTTTAATCATGAGGAAACATATCTCTTAGTCGTCTACTCGACTAAAGCTAAATGGATTATGCCGCTTTAGAGATGAAACATTGATTTTTCAAACCTCATACATGCTTTTTTTTTTTAACTTCAGCACATGAAATAGTAAGAACCTCTTTTGCTTGGTTTGTTTCGTGTATGTGTTGTTCGTTGTTTTAGTTTTTGCTGTTTTTGCTGTTTTTTTGTCCTTCTTTGTTTTGTCTTCAGAGTTACATATTTTTAATCATTTCATACAATCAATCCTCGTAAAGCTGCTGTTGATTGGTTTTGGTATTAGTCTTTTCTTAGCTCTTTATGTTTATTGCCGATTTATTTGTTTATTTGTATCTGAGTTTCTGTTTTTTGTTCTTTTCTATCTCAGGCAATTTGTCGCGTGGTAATAAAACTTCATGAAACAATTTCAAGAATGACATTTGCCAGAAGTAATCGGGAAAACTCAAATCTCAGTGGAGCTTGAATCCTTTACCAAAAGTGCGCTAATTGAATTGTCCAAGTTTTCAAAATTGTTTCCCCATCTTTCATATTCTTTTGGAGAAGGTAAAAATTTATAGGAAAACTTAAAAGAAGGAAAAAGTTTCAAATGCTTCAAGCCTAATCTTTTTGGTGATTCATCACATTCACTACTGACTATTCGTGGGCACGACCGCTGAATACGCGACAAGTTTGTATGACAGGTGCAACTAAACCATTAATAATACCTTAAAAAATATTTTGGGTACATCACCAATAATTTTTTTTTCTTTGGCGTGCTCAATTACTTCAGCTCTTTCTTTTCCAAGATATCAATAGAAATCTTCGTAAGTATCCTCCATGCAATTTTTAAGAAGTTACTTCAAAGAATTTATTGGTGCAAAATAACACGATATCTCTTAGCTGATATAATTTTCTCATCGACTAACCGTCTGGCATTGTTATGGCTATTGTAGACAGAAATTGCGAGGGTCGGTTCATAGCGATAGCTCATTGCTTTTCCTTCGTTTATATTTTTTGTGTGTGTTACCTTAGCCGTTCAAAACTGCAAAATTGCGGCTTCTTTCTGACAAAAACGATTAACTCCGGAAGAGAATAAGCAGAAGGTAAAAATTGCATCTTCAGGATCTTTTCAAAGAATGGACAACTTAAATGAATAGCTGAAAATTAATAGCTTCTTTCATAAAACGGACAAATAGTGTTTTCAAAGAGCAAGGCTTAATTATAAAAATTGTTATTCCCAACGTTACTGCGGCATATGTTTCACAACTTTGCGATTAATACTGAAAATATTTGGAAAACGTATATCAAAACGACCTTGGCATTTGTTTATCTAAGTAGACCCCCCTTTCCCGTTTTAAGGGATGTTTTTAGAACAGTCACTACCTTCGTCGACCAGTTATTGACTAGACTAAGTGCACTCTCAATTTCTGCCTGATAGGAATAAGAAATACTCAGTTTTGTGTGACATGGCCATAGAAATGAACTCTCAAAGAAAACCGCAACAACTCAAAACCGAAGAGGTTGCACTTACTAAATGATAATACTAGTAGTCTGACTCGCCATGCAAGCTCGCCTCATTATTTGCGAAGTATTTAGTTTTCCTTCTAACGGCGCCGAGCGTCTAAAAAACATGGACAGCAACCCGTTTCCCTCGGTAGTATTTATCACGTTCTAGCACACTAAAAATTCATTAATTTTGTGAATGGCAAGCTGCCATATTTTCGAAAAATTGATTGATTTGTTTTTAGCTAAAAAGATAATTTTGAACTCTTGCACCTGATTGGGTGAAAATAACATGAATTTCATTAAGGACAAAACTTTGTTTTTTCATTTTACAGCGAATTCGTCACTCACCAATGAAAAGTGTACTTTAGCATCTGATATCGCGCATATTTCTTATATCAAATGACACGAATTTGCTTATTACGATAACGACTGACTGAAAGATTTGCCAACTGTTGTAAACAAACATACGGGGTATGGAAATTTATTAGTATTCCAACCACGCTTTTTTTTTCCGCTATGATGACTGAAAACTACGATAAGAAAAGATAAACGGAACCTTATGAATGAAGGATTAAATATTTGCTGCAAGACGGTCTCGAAGGACTTCCAGAAAAATAAATTCAGTCATTTGCTTTTTTTTTGAGGTACATGCTTTCATGCAAATCATTATTAGTGCATAATTCTTTGTACCTTACTCTGAAGTAAAGAGTAAAAATGATGTGACATACGTGCAACAATTTCCAGTCGTCGTGGCACACGAAATGATTTGTAAATTCTGGAGAATACTATGATTGACAGATTCTGAATTTCGGCAGAAAAGTGCGGCCGTTACGCATTTGAGGAAATTTTTCAAACAAAGTTGGATAAACAAAAGCGATTGGACAAGGGGAAAGGGAAGCTTTTATTAGGGATCGAGCTCATAATAAGACAAAATAATTTTTTTCCTCAGTTTTTTATGTCAAACATAGAATATGGAAATTTCAATTTTCAAAACACAAGACGACATCGTGGACAGAAACTTCATGAAGAGAATTTATCATCTGTAGCTTATTGATGTATGAACCTTATCCTACCGGCTTTGTGAGGGCCCTTCGCTTAGTAAGCAGTAAGTTATATTGGTGGAACTTGCTGCTTTTAAATTTGAGGTTTGTTTGCTATAAATATTGGTGACCAATGAAAATGTTTCTGATTTCATTTCCAGTTTCAAGAAATAAAGTTAAACGTTGACGAGATAAATTTTTTTTTCAACTCACCGTGTTTCCTTGGATGTTTTTGACTCGTATGAATCTACGCCGGAGAGAAGGTTCTCGTAGAGTGTGCTTCACGGTGGGTCTACGCCTTTAAAGTTAATGACGGAGGTGTTGTAAATTTATAGTTTCGTGACATTACGGGAATAGTTTACGATAGAATATCATTAACATTGACCGAAAAAGAGTTAAGTAAACAATGAATTCTGAGAGCCAGCAAGCATCTGAATAGTAATTACAGCTGCTATTGGCAAGATAACTGTGTCATCGTGACGAGAGAGAAATTCAAATTTTCAAAAAAAGAGTTGCCAAGCATTGAATAAAATATACATAAACCATCCAAATCTGTTTTGAAAAAAAAAATCTAACTAGCTAAAGCTAAACACTCAAGATGAAATGAAATGAGCTCTATATTCTTATTCAAACAATTCAAACGAATGCCATAAACAAATGCGATAAGAACACGGAGGAGAGAATCTTCATGAATTATGGCCACGGGCTGATTTCGAAGCAACGCAATTTAAGATTTCGGATAAGCACATGGAAGCCATTCCCTAGGATTTTTTTTTTCTTCAACTTTCCTCCTTTTGTCGATTCTGCTTTTTTCTATTACCTCATCTTCGTCAAAACTTGATTTGCGCTGTCACCTATTTTCTTCAGGCTAATGAAAATAGTTATCTTTCAGTGCTGATACTTGACCGAACTTTATACTGCTCAGTTAGGTTTTTGCGAAAGAGGACATTATGTTTTTACACTGAGTAATTCGCAGGTTTTTTTTTTTCAGATGACAAATGAACCTTGGAACTGCGGAAGGTTGATCCGTGTCAAACACTAAAATTTCCGCAAATGATAATGTGGTCACGTTCCTCCCAATAAAGCTTGCATGAGTGGCGTGCTAATTTTCCCGCCAAAAGTTATGACGGGAACAATCGTCACCACGGAAACAAAAGTCTAGGCTAAGTGTGCTTTCTTGAGTGGGGATTTACGTTTAAACACTGCGGTTATTTGAGAACCGCATTTTCGAGGGATCGTTTGGGCTGCATCGCGTTTTCATTTTCTCGAGTAAAGTCAACCTTGGGGTCTCCAAATAACAGCTTTTGCTAATTATGTGTAAAATACAAGTACGCAAACTCCTTAAAAGAGAAGTAATTTTGTTCATTTTTCCCCGAGTGTCGTAGTATCGACCGTAACTCTAAAATTTTGATAAAAAAGACTATAAACTCGCTGGAACCATAAAACAGTATTAATTACTGTTTTCGTTTTCGAGACTGACCAACGATGTGTACATCGTGTTACCATTTTAATTTTGCCTCGATGATCGGAGGGCGACACTGCAACCAAGAACGGTTGTATTCAATTCTGGGTCCATTGACTGATCGATTCGATGACTTGGTGATTAGTTAAATTAGAGCCTGGTCTTGTGGAATCGTAACCTTAAAAAAAAAGGAAACCAAAGTTGAGAGATGGCTGAATGATGTTGATGTGTTTCATTAAGTTATTTCTAGTCTCAGTACTTTACTCTTCCGAAGCAAACGACAGCATTTCCAGATATGAATATTCAACGTTTCAATGATGAGTCTCTTACAGTAACTGAAGCAGATTTCTAACAACGGGCGTTTTCTAACTGATAAATCAGAAATATATATCTAGCAACATATTCATAATTAAATTTTAAAGTCACTGCTTCAAATATTTATCCGTGTTGCGTGTTCCTTTCCTCAAGACCTTTTTAACTATTCAATTTGAATTTACATTTATGTCAATGAAAGTGGCTCCTGTATCGACGCCGTACACACGCTTGCTTTAACGCCTTCTTCAAGTGTCAAAGTATCAACTCGACATTTTTTCACACAATAACCTGATGTTGAAATAATCCGTCTTCCCCTGTATTTTGAACGCACATTACTTCAATATTCACTGTTTTCCACGTCATTGCGTGCACGGGAAATAACAATAACGAAAATGAATAAAGAAAAGAATACGGGGAAAAGACCATGCAAACTGGCCATCTATTATTTTTATTTTCCATTCCAGGGGGTCGTAAAGGGAATTCTAATTAAACATTACTGATATATGAAAAGAACTGCCCGCGGCCAGGATGTCTTCATCTTCGATAAGATTCAAGGCGTTCTTACCATAATTGATACAATTAATGTTACGTTTGTCATTGAAGATCTTTATCGCACTAAAATGGTGTACAGATATCTATCAACTAATCAAGCCAGATTCTACCCAACGACGGTAAATCAAAACGCGATCGTGATCGTGAACTCTGTGTGTGGTCATCAAAATGTGCCACTTTTCGTCTAAGTAATGCAAGTAAATTTCCGAAGTTGCCCCCGAGCAAAGTCGCGCTTGTGTCGAAAGGAACTTTGTTTTTCTTTACTTCACCGGAAAGGGTTAGCTGCATTTTATAATCACATTACCCTCAACGAACTTGAGGACAGCCCAAGACCCATTTTCTCCCATTTTTTCATAAGAGAGTACGTGTAGACCTCTGCAGCAATGGTCCGATTGTGCATGGAGAACATTCTTTTTCAATGATAAGAACACACACCCTCTCATTTACGAATAGATAATGGCAATCTTTCTGGAAGTACACTAATGTCAAACAAAAAATGACAGTCACGTTCAGTTTTCCATTTCTCCTCAAGGCCATAAGCACAATTTTCGAACGTAGCCTTTAGGAGAGAAAACTCTGAAAGAGACGTTTTTCGATTGATACCTGCATAAGGCTATTTCCTGTTAATTTTATCTGATCATCGAAGTATCATAAGCGTTTTTACAATGGGAGGAGGTAACCAAGGAAACTTTCTATGAAAATAATTCATCATGTCAATGATAACCTCTCAAACAGGGTACTGCCAAATGAAGAGAAGAAGAAATATGTTTAATTTTGGAAAGCGATTCATATTACTTAATTTCCCATGGAAAATGGAAAGAATAATTTTTCTAGTGTTTAGTTCATCCCACAAAATCAACAAACATCCAATGGTAATTCGCTTCAAATTGATAATTCATGAGTAAACCACAAAACATTTTGACGTTTTAACGTCAGATTTTTGTACCATTAGCAGTTGCACGCAAGCTGAAGTTGTTTTGAATTAAGCTGTGTCATGATGTTTCGAACTAATTACGAGTGTTGAGAGAATCATCCATATATAAAAGTGAAACTGAAACCTTAAAGTCGCCTTGCGATGTTAAAATAATTGTTGCCCTTGTTCTCACTGTGTTCCAATTTCATAGTTCTAAAAATTACGTCATGCCAATTTTTCTGCCTCCATTTCAAGTGCAACTTTGTTATTTTATCAATCTCCTGTTCAAACTTCCCATATTAAACTCACTCCTAAAGCACAAAATCCTGTGCAACGCACGAGATTAGTTGGTTATTAGTCCACAGGTTGTGTCTCATTCCCCCACTCTCTTTCCTGGACTAATCCAGCTCTCTTAAGGCGACCTATCGGGTAATGGTGGACACTAGCAATTGCTGAGAAAACTGATTACGGCGTATCCTTTAAAAATCAGGCAAACATTTTGCATCGTATATCGTACATCGCCTTGAGTAAAAACTCTGTATTGACAAAGACAAAGAAGAAGAAGAGAGGGCCGGAGGAAGAAGAAGAACAGGAAGAAGAGAATAATTCTCATCTCACACTCTGAAGACTTCACGCTCAAAGCTCTCAACACAATATAAGTGTCCTTGGCATCCATCTCAATAACATGAAAAGGAACCAAGCATGCTGAGGATCTGGAAAAGGGAGACTCTGAAGCGAAGGTACATGAAGTAACAATGGAAGTGTTTTCTGTTTCAGGGATCTTTCTCAAAGTGGGATGGTTGGATGCTTAACATACATGGAGAAGGGGGAGGAAGCACGCTATCAAATTGCTCAGACATCTTTTTGACATCTTCAAAACATGTCAAGATGCCCTCTGCCTTACTCTCTCTCAAATGATAATATAACCGTATTATCATTTGAGAGAGAGTATCGTCTAGAGTTTTGTACCTTGATACATCAATAAAGAAGCTCTTTTTTCCTAAGAGTCCTCTACTTTAGCAAATGAAAGTGCACTTATAATCATGTGTCTCTGATAGTGATTATATCATAGTAAAATGTATATTTTTGTACGTAGTAAACTTAGTTGAAAGTAGCCTCAAATGAAAGCGAGAAACAGACTACTCGGTAAAATAGGCATAAAATCTGCGAACGAAGTTATAAGTTTGTGTCATGATAATACGCTTAGTACTCCTAAATTCCGCAACCTGGTCCTCTGAATGCGTAGATAGAAATTCTTTGCTGCTTAGTTTCAGTTTGCCCCTTATTGGACGACACTTATATTAGACTAGTTTGTATTAGCCAGTGCAGGAGTGGCATCTGAACTTCAATCCAAAAGTTTTCATTGGTTCGATACAGCATCGGCCTTTCAAGCATCATCCGGCATATCAAGCCGGATAACGCATTAAAAACAATCCCTCACTTGCCTCTGGACTCGCCTCCACCCAGTTTGCCCTTCATTAAAAACCATCCATTACAACCACGTCACGTTCCGTTACAAAGCCACCATGGAATTCAAAAGCGAATTTCTAAGAAGATATTCGGAAGAATTTGCTTTCCTAACAAACTGCCTTTATCGAGTATAAGTTAGTGTTCTAGGTTTGAAAATACTCAAGAAAGACAATGTCGTAAGGCACGCCTTTCTCCACGGGGAATCTATTTCTAGAATAATGATAAAACCTGAAACGACTAGTCATATCTTGGATATCTTGTTGATAAACATTGCGGTAAAATGTGATGCAACTGTTCTTGTTTACGGCGTGGGTACCTTTAGCTTTAAGCATCTTTGTATAAGGACGTCTTCAGCGTCGGTATCTAGCAGTTACTTGAGCCATGAACAATCAAATCTAGTATTATTTGTAATACTCGAAAGATAAAAGGCGTGCAAATAAACTTTTTACTTTACGAACAGCCTCGTACTCCTAGATTTAAAAAACGTGGTGCCTGCAATACATCCTGAGATGAAGTTAGAAAACAAGTTTTCTTACAAAGTCCTTAGTTTTCCGCGCGAAGTTGAACGTCACTACGATAGTCGTAGCTCCTTCTTGCAAACGAAATGACACAGTTAATTCAGTTCAGTTTATAAAATCACATCTTGTACGGATTGAAAATAGAATCCTCTCTGTGTTGTATATGAGGCTTTCCCTGCAAGTTAAATATTCTAAAACAGGAAGTGCTCCCGAAATTACAAAAATGCCCGCTCGTGCCTCCAGCCCAAGGCGGGTAGCAATGAGGTGCAGGGTAGAAACTATGACATAAGCGCCAATCATGAGTGGTTCCTGTTTGAAACGTCGGAGGTAAGCAAGGAACACTGAGGTGTGAAGGAAAGAACACAGACGGCCTTCCACCCAAATCGTCCAGAAGTGATGTGTGAGATTCAGACCACATTTTTGAGGGAAAATGAATCTTTTCACCAGACGATTTGCAAGTGTGAATTTTTTTGAAAGATGTTGTAGATGGAGCAATTTTCTTGTCTGTTTTTCGCTTTCTTTTAGGCTTGCGTCTCTTTGGTTGATATTTATATCCAGGGTTGTCCGTCTTGTGCTGTTCTGTCAGTCTTCGAGCCTCTTCCACGTATGGTTCTTTATCCGCTTCAGACAGTTTACGCCATGCGGCACCGAGGGCTTTGCTCACTTCAGCGTTGTTAATTCCAGGGTGTTCCTTGAGGATGTGGTAGCGCTTCTCTCGGCTCCACACCATGAAACAATTCATGGGTCGTTTCACGTGGGCTGGGGAATCCATACTTAGATTTGTGTGCGTGCCTTTGTGAAGTCTTAGAATAGCTTCTTGCAAATAAAACACCGAAACACTTGCTGTTTCTTTGAAAAGCCAATCAATTAGATGCGAACAAAGCCAATTAAAGACACATTAGTGGCAGGTATTCCACAAGCACCAAAACAAAGTTCCACCAGAAACCGAAACTCCTGATAAATTATTCATAAAGTCGTGAACACCTTTTGGCGAAATGGCAACATATTAAATTACATACACCCTCAATGTTTTAGAAGGGGTACGTTCAAGTGCTACTCTAAAAACAAAATATCATATTTTCACTTAACATTCAATTGATTTGATTTGGTTGCCGACGTACCATACAACATTTGTACTGAAATAGTTTGCGTGTTGTGCACATCACAGCACATCAATAACAGAATCAAAACAACATGCAGATGAATTCCATTGTTTATATTAGCAAGCGATTAGTTTGATATAATGACAGTAAGCGATTTTATGAAGAACAAGCAATCTCTGGATCGGAAGAAAGACGTGATGACAGACTTGTCAAAACAAGCACTTTTTAGGGAACAATGCAAAGTCGTAGCAGGCGAGACTTTCTTCGAATCTCGATTTTGGACTCCTATTCTTTTTCCATTAAGAAAACAGGAAGAAAGGTGGATATAGTAACTAAGAACATCTGTGGCGCATCATTTTGAATTATGTTTTGAAATATGGGTCTAAATTGTTACTGTTTTGAGATTCAACGCCTACGGGAATTTACGCCCTCTCTCTCCTTGACGCTAAAACAACTGTCAGCTCGTTCTGTTTTCTAATCACGATTCGACTAGATAAAAACGGATTAGGAGTGGAGGAGAGGAAATTTTCCAAAATTTCGTTATCCGGCAAATCGTAAGGAGTTGATTTTTTAAATTGAACTGTGAGAAAAGAAAACTATAGGCAACAACTTCCTGCACCTTAAAACATTATAAGACAACGAGGAATGCTTTGAGGACAAGAAAAGAATTTCAGTGTAAGATTCTGTAAAACCTTACAGTTTATCTGCTGATGTGACGAAGGGATGAAACCTTAGGCAACATTTTCTTGCAGCCTAAAACGAGATAAACCAATGATGAATGCTTGAAAAACAAGAAAAGAATTTTAGTGTAAGATTCTGTAAAACCATTTAATTCTCTGCTTATATGACGTAGTAGGGAAATTATTAAATTGTTTTAGTTTATTAATGGGCAGTATCAAGAAATGTCGCGAGCAAATCATAATATGGGGGGAGGGGGGGAAGCTACCCATAGCGCCTGCAAGAAAGACCAATTCAATCAGATCGTGTACACTTTGCACGCTTACATCTTAGGTAGCTGAAACATTGTTTCTCATCCAAATTAAAAGTATTGAACAACAACAAAAAGGAAAAAGGTATTTTTAAAATTGAGCGAAAACACTATCAAAGCTCCAACCTTTTTCAGCCATGTTTTTAATGTAACATAAAGCGAAGCCATTTGAATCACACTAACAATATTCAAAGATTTAGAATTTCTTGCAACATTCTAATTGGCATTTTAACCGAAACAGTTTATTGCTTCATGACAAACATGAAAATGTCTTATAGAGTGGCAAGCTATAAAAAAAAAATTACCACCGTGAGAACATATATGCTAAACGAAGAGGTCTCAAATATTTTTTCCTCCTAGAAACCTGACTGAAACTCACTTCGAATATCACTTTCTTCCAATTTGACGAGAGAATAAAAATGTGCTAAACACGTACCTTAACAACGTGATACAAATTCTAGGAAAGCAAATATCTTGATCGACATCTCTGAAGCAGCGTTTTTAGGCATAAAAGAATCAACCGGACTCAAATTTTGTCATAATAACTTTTTTTTAACAACAGCTGGTGACTTTTTTTGCTATAATTAGTTCCAACTGTTTGAAAACATCACTAAATAAGATGATAGTAGAATGGTGCATTTCCTTTCCTAAGAAAAAACTCCAACGGAAGTATCTAAGCATCCACGTGATCCGGAGATCATTGCGTAGAGTTTTGCCCGCATGTCTCGCAAAGAGGAAGTTGGTCTTTAATTCCTCTAAGTTACGTATGAGAACAAAATAAATCACTAAAGCTTGGCACGTACAATTTTCTCAAATCAGAAAATTGCATCTGTTTTGTCTACGTGATGACCTTAGGCTCCATTAAGGTTGTTATCACTTTCAATTTGTCACTAAGTATCTTCATAATTTATGTGACAGTTTTGAAATGAGTTAGACAATTTGATAATTATTTAGCAAAACTCTTAAAGCAATTCGAAATGCAATAAATTTTCCCAGATACAACCATTTTAGCCTGAGCTTTCAAGAGTGCGAGTCACGTTCTTTCAAGTCATGCAAGTTGATGAAAACTCGTTACAGACAAATCGCAGACTTAAACCGCGAGGATAATGGCAGAGAGCTGAATGGTAACCTTCTCTCAGTACACTATGGCACCTGAAAGATCAGGTAACTAAAACGAATTTCCAAATTTTTTTAAGAGTTGTAGCTTCTTTTTCTCCTTGTATATGTATGAGATGGACTCAACTCATAGGAGGTACGCGGTAACAACGGAAGGAGCTGGCACTTAAAACGCATATATCCCGACATATTTAACAGCCTTAACAAACATTTTGGGTTAAGCAATGAGATCCTTATTTCAAAATTAGTATTCATCTATGAAAAAGTTGTGATGGCTCTCCCATAAAAAGGAATTTTCATATTATTATTTAAGGTACTTAAATTGGTACAACTGATCGAATCTCCTCACGTAAAGTCGTTACTGCTTTGTTTATTTATTTATTTATTCATTTTTTGCTTTTATTTAAGATCATTGATTCTTCGTTTTAAATTCAAAACTGCCTCAAAAATGACAAACGGCTTAATTCTCTCAGTCAACATATTTTGGTTTTGTTTTGTTTTTATGAAATTCCCCTTGTGTTTGTCTGTTTGCCTTATAATATCTCACCATAACTGGAGAAAAAGGAAAGCAGATTAAAAACGAACAATGAAAAAGGGAAAGCTCTTTAATTTAGTGATACATACATGAATTTTATTTATTAGCGAGTCGTCTGAATTATTTATTATTGGCAAAGTTACAAAGCCAGGCAGAGTGCAGTAGATGAGACACAAATTTTCTTCTCGCGTGTGCAGATGTTACGAAAAGTAAATCAAACCGAATGAGAGAGCGAACTCATTTTTCTAACAATCAGAACTAGCTAGGTAGCAATGGCACTTGTACTTTATGTGCTAGTCATCGTGCTGTACTGAGTCATGGCGCTAGTCATCGTGCTGTAGTAACTAAAAAAAATCTAAGCGCTTTAGTAAAGATCTAAACTCAGATTGAGAGGTAACATAATTCTCTCGCGTGGCTAACTTTCTCAATGTGTTAAACATCCTGCAGAGTTTTTCATGTTTTCACTTAGCGAAACAGAGACCATCTTCTAAGTTCGGCGGTCAAAACTGTTTTCTTTTCGTGTTACGATCTCGAGACTCGCGAGCTCTTATTATGAGTTGGTAATAACCACGACAACACTTATGCGTTGAAATATATATCAAGTGTATAGATATCTATAGATCTCCTTTAGCTTTGGTCGTTGCTGGATGTTGACATGAATAAAGTAGCTGTCAATCTGCCGCTGTGTTCTTGGATATACTCTCCACGATCTTTACTCCTTTTTAAGATCAGAAATTTGTCTTTGTCTTTTTTTTTCCTTCTCCTTAAAGCCCACAGCGAGCCCTAATGTTTCCTCCGACTTAATGGTACTTTGTTACGTCATGTTACTTTATCGATCAAATGTTCGTGCTAGAGCTGCCATCTTTATAGCTGATATGATTATGGTTTATACATCAGTAACCATTCAAACTCAATCTTAGGTTCTGACATCCATTGCGTGCGCCAAACTCTGTAAATCCATAAGCAGAGACTGGGGGGTCGAAAACGAAGATAAGACATTCATAAGTACACCGAAGACTGCTGTTATGAGTCTTATCAGATATTTCTATGCAGGAGTGATACTTAAGGAAACGTGGTATTTTTTATATTTATTTATTTGTTTTATTTTTATTAGAGAGAGCCGTAATTGATAAGCCTGATAATTTTTTTTTTTTCGCGAAGTTGACATTCGGACATTTTGATAAGGAAACCCATTCTCCACTTAGATCAAAGGGAAGAATAAATGAGATAAAGATAGATTAATAACTTTTTTTTAAAGTCCCAGATGTAGGAGAATAAGCGAGAGAATATATTTATCTGCAAACGGTGGGAAATTTCTTTTTCACGCAGTTAGAGGCCAAGACGCGACTGGCTCACGCAGCTGCAATTTATGGAGGAAAATCGGAGGAAAATCCAATAAAATGGAGCTCTCACGCAATAAAAGATTCTCTGCCTTCGTGTAATATGGTCCCTGTTAAGGATGCATTACACTATTGTGTTTTCGCAATGATGAATTCAATTGTCTTGATTAACATTTCCAAGAACATGAAGTATTTGCATGATCGTGTTCAAGCCGCTTTAGAATAAAGGATCTTTCATTCCAGGGGTCTCTTAAATTGCCAGGGTTGACTCTGTAAGGGACCAAGAAACCCAACTGTTTTCTTAAAGAGGCAAATTCAAAGTCTAGAGTTCTCAAAGATAATGAATATGTTAAGATTAAAAAAGAAAACAATTGATGCTGTGAAGCTGCACAAACGCCACTCCAAAATCAACCATGAGATTGTCAATTATACCCGGCCGGCAAAAGCAGAACTAGAACCCGTTACACAGGTAATTAAAAAACGCATGACTGCATTTTAGCTCCAAAGTTTACGATTTTATGTAAGGCTGAGGTGGGTACTTTGTTTTATACGGCTCTTTTTCGGGAAGTGTTTAGGTAATATTCCGTAACGTAGCCCGCGTGATGTACTCTATCGGGTTTTTTCTTCTTTAATTTGTATTGTTTCCTGAATTATCTCCACTTATCCTGGAACTAGAAACAAATTGTGAAATTAAATATTAGAATAGACCAACTGTTACAG